CTACAATGTACCAATAAAAGAATTTAATAAAGTGCAAAAAAAAAAGTTTAGTTTTTGAAAATTTAGTGTACTGGATTACTGACAACCAAGCTTGCAAACAAGAAAACATTGATACTTAACTTTGTAAGAGCAAAGGAATAATTGAACATATTACATAGTGAGAATTCAGAATGTTCATATGAGTTAATTTTAAAATTCTATAATTATGCTTTGGAATATCCCAGTTCATGTGATGACTTGATAACACTTCTGATTTTAATTGGATAGAATTTTTCATACAAGATGAAATGATACTGAGAAAGTCTGAGATTTCTATTTTAACATCTAAATTTAATAATGCATTCAAAAGAATCAAAAGTAAAAGTGAGGCTTAACAAATAGTGCTTATAAAAACATTTGGGTTAAAATACTAGTGTATTTCACTAAAAGAAACTGAAATTGAGAATTCCACCAGTTATCAAAATTGATTGTAAGTATAATAAGATTTTGATACTCATACAGTATTTATTTTTTTAGTTTCCAAGGAGCTAAATCCCCAGCCCCAATACCTATAGAGTATTATCTCATTAAAACCAAGAGACAACAGGGAAGAATCAGTTAAAGGTATCAAAAATTTCAAATTGATTGAAATAGTAAGGAAAGTTCCAAAGGGGTAGGGGAAGTGGGAGGGGAAGGGGAAAGGAAAGAAGAGAAAGGAAAAATTATGAGAAAAGGAAAAAACAGAAACAAAATCTTTGTAAATAGGGAAGGGTGGAGGGGGTGAAGGGAGCATAGGGAATGGGGAAAAAATAAGAATCAAGATACATCATGTAAATTTACAAGTGCCCAATGATAAATGTAAATATTTTGTATACCTAAAATGTACTAATAAAAGAGTGTAAGGAAAAAAAAATTTCAAATTGAGGGCTGGAGATTTAGCTCACTGGTGTTGCCACCTGCCTCGCAAGTGCAAGGTCCCGAGTTAGATCCCTGGAACCAAAACAAACAAATAAACAAACAAAAAAATA